GGCGACAGTAAAAGGCAGTTTCGGACAATTCCGGCTCGATGTAGTCATCTCCTTGAGCAATTGGAGCAAGTTAAATCTCGTCCCAACATTCCTTACATGCCATTACCGTCATGGTGATCTCGTACAACCCCACTTCCACTACTTTTAAAAAGCCTCGAAGTAGGTGGTTTTTCTCGCTTCCCTCGCCACCGATGTGCTCCTCTACATCAATACTTCCACCTTTTTACCTAAAAAGGGTACCCAGAATTATCGTGAACTGTGCCTTTAAGCAAGGGTGTGGCTTCCATTCACTACACTCTGTCTTTAAGCAGGAGACGGCTGATTAGCGAGTTTTTAGAAAGCTATCGAAGAGCCAGTTTGATTCGATCGAGGTGTTGGTTATGTGGCTTTGGGGTTTTTGTTGAACCGTCATTAAGTCTCCACTAGAAAAGAGAGTCGTATCAAAGAAAAATAATCTGGAAATGCCCTCAAACAAGTTTTTGGGGCTGCGAGCAAGTTTGGGGATAATGATAACAGTAATCATGCGAATCGCTCTCACTGACGGGTGATTCAGACGGGTTTTCTTTTGCATTCTGTCTAACACCAATGCGATTTGAAATGGTAGCTGAACACGTCTTAGCAGTTCTATTAATATTCGCTTGCTTCCTAAATGGTGTCTTCGATATACATTAAGCTCCTTTTGCCCACTGGATCACCTGAATACGTCCATGAGGTTTTATCTTCATCGTATGATCGGCAGTGGACTCTGGCTTTGGAGAGCCCCATGGTGTTATGATTGCGCTATCACTAATTGGCTCTCAGTATCGCAATAAATGGCCTTTAAGGAACCCGCTCGATTCAGAGCGGATTTGGACAAGCCGAGCCTTTTCCAGATGTGGTCAATGCAGGTAATTACAATGTTTTGGACCATAAAAGCCTAACGAGCTCTTTGTCAGAGTTTCGCAGTGTAATGGATAACTAGCTTGAAGTTTCTTGAGGTGTCGTTTCTCTTTTGCCTGCGTCCAAAGCTCTGCTAAGACCTCGAACTATTTGCATTTATGTTTAAAATACCTTGACCATGACAACTACTAGGGCCCTTGTTGGTTCGGGGCTGCCCGCAAGCCAAGCGGTAATGTGGGGTTTTATAAGTGAGCCAGAAACACTCGCACATAGGATCATCACAAGAATTTAATTAATGCTGATTCGATTACTATCAGAAAGTCAAATTGATGTGTGAGAAACTACGCTGAAGACTTGCACCTCCTTCTGCTGTCTAATTTGTTAACCTTCGTCTGTTGTCCTACATAGTTGATGATGTCAAGAAATTTTTTGATTCCAAACTCCCCGAAGTGCTTCGCTTCAACCATTTGGTTCCTCTTCTGAAAAGTATTCTCAAATTGCCAGACTTCATATGTATAAAGTTCACTCTTTGTTAGAACTCTCGCTTGGACCTCCTTTTTCAAGGGCTCTTGAAGATGACTAATCCTTTTTTTTTGAAGTTATACGCCATTATAACATTTGTGTTTGACGATCTATGAGGGACATAATTGTTTTTCTTTGGAGGACGCTCGTTTAGCTAAGAAAGAAACGGATGAAGGTTAGAACGGCCCCTTTCTATCGCAGTTTTCTCGGACTGCTTGTTCAATTGCTAGTCATTCTCCCTCTTAACTTTTAGTTCTAATCTAGGGAACCTTCTGTTTAGAAATTAGATGGCACTATTTACCTGTTATAATCAGGTCTCCTCATGCCAAATTGCTCGTTGTCTCTATAAATTGCGGTCATTTCTTTCGAGAATATCCGCTTCTATTCAATACCGCATTAAGCCTGCCCGGTTATCTTAGCAACGGAAGCGCATTATCGAGCTGTTATTCATTTCTGCTAACCACCTGTCCATCGAAACACCCTGTGCCTGCCTAAATCACACCACCTTCGCTCTATCCATATGGGATTGTACAGAAAGAGTAAGTTTCCTGGTTTTCTGGACGACATTACCCAAAATACATTATGTACTGTAATTCACTAATGAAATTAAGGTTTTTTCTAATTCACAGTACTGTATAAAGTACGATCCTTCAGAGCAGTATAAGAGTTGAAAATTTGAAAGTAAATGGGCGGTTCACGATAGCTGACCGCCGTTGACATTAAAAACGGCACTGTACGTTCGGGCTTGCATAATGGCCTTGACTTTTCGTTTTCGTCTTTTGTTACGACTTTGGCACCGTTTCAGAATGGGAGCAACCGTCTGGCACGCTGCTATTCCAACCGGCCAATACCTCGTCAGTGAATATAAATCGCTTTGGTCAGTTCATCTTTACTTTTACTGTTTTCATCATTCTTAACTTCACTGACTATGCCTTTCCCTTAAACAAAAGTTCTTGCGGTTGTTGACTCAATTTGGGAGGACGGGGAAAATGTTAAATGTTTTGTCTCGCCTTTTCCCATTCCTCCTTGCTATACGGTGATGATGTGACCATGAGACGTTTGATAATCCACCCGGTGAATTACCCATTTTGCAGATTTTTTCCGATTTTATTGGCCCCTTTGCTGTTTGAATAGGACCGTTCGTATCAGTCATTATCAATGACGCCTAATTAATGGTATCTCGTGATCAGTGATAATACCTAATTGGTGGTATTTCTTCCTGAAAGAAATTTTTACCGATTCTTTCCAAAGACCTTTTTCTTTTTGGGAGACCTTCCCGACCTGACGTGTCGGAACTTATCATTGAACACAGTTTGTATATAATTTACGACTGCTGGTGTCTTTTTCATAGATTCCCATGAATGAAATTCTATTTACTTTTCCCAATCAATGTTTTTTATGCTTATTTCATAATGACATTACGGTATTGTGTGTACTATGTTTAGAGCGCAGTCCACATATCGCCCAAGCGCAGTTTGTGGATTTCACGTCTGGCACACCTCGTTCAACGCGTTTGCAGCACTCACAGATGCAATCACAATCGCAGTCATCGTCGCCAATGATGTCTACACAGGTGCCGAGTGCCATGCGAACACCATCTGGAACTCCATCACAGGCCGGATTGTCGCAGATTGCTGCAATTTCCCGAATGCAGCAACAACAGCAGCATTCAGCACTTCGAAGGGATTCTCCCGATCGAACTAGCCTAAGCAAACGGCATATGCAAGATGGACAGGTTGGTCTAGAGGGAATAGGTCATAGTTACTAATTCCTGAGTATTTAAGTTTGAACTCTATCATTGCTGCACTGGAATTCCGATTTAGCTCAAAATTTTTCATGATTCAGAATGATGATGGAGGACCCCATTCACCCTTTAGAATTGTGCTACGCGCTCGATTTCCATTCTTAATTGTAAAGGTCTAGTACGAGGGCTGAGTACAGGTCAAATGGTGCATACCGATGCCGTCCCAGAATGAGCTCAGGCCATTGGTCAATTCTGGTAGTTCCTTCAGTCTCTTTAGCACGAGCGACGAATGTTCTTGATACAACTATTATAGAATGAATGCATTGCGACAGGCTTCATCTCAAAAATTTATCAAAACTCTAACTTTATCTCTTTACTACTCCCAGTTTACCTGAAATCTATAAAAGTTGAAGTCTCTGGCTTAAATTCATCCCGCCTTAGGATGCGCCCACGCATTCGATTTTTGCTGAGAATCAATGGTCTTTCGAATGCGTATAAGGCCTATAACCATAAGTTGCGGTGGCCAACGCTGTAAGAGTCAATGTTTTTATCCTACCAGGCGATCTGGTATCAATTCACCAACCCCGTGTTGATAGAGGGTTGATTGGTCTAGAACATATCTAACCCGTTTTTGTGATAGTGGACCACTCGCCGCTTCACCACCTCTACCCTCCCTGCACAAAGTACCTTAAGTGGTGTTTTTTCGCTTACATGGTAAAGAAATAATAAAAAATGGTCGACCTGACGGGCAGGTTTCTATCCCAAGTGGCCCATCTTCCTTTCCTATGCTAGCTGCTGATTTTTGAAATTTTAGAACAGACTATGTAGGCTAGAAGTTGATGTTATGCAAAGTTATGCTATGCTTTGCCGTCAAAGCCATTCAATCAACATACGTATGTCGCACAGTGAACGGCGTAAAAATGGGATTTCGAAATTCAGTGACGTGAGGTGTCATTTCCTATGTTTTCGATTTCTGTGGAAGACGAAATTGTTAGCTCAGCAACATACTGTGCATATATTTACCATGGGACGGTTCAATGCTTTCGTACTTTAAGCGATCACCTAAAGCGAATGAGGAATCACACACAATACACCCCTAGTCGTAATACCTCTAGTCAAATGGTATGTCGGGCACAGACTAGGTTTTGGTCCCTTTTTGAACAGATTTCACGTTTCTTCAATTTGATTAAAACTCATCTCATCCTCTGGATCGGGGCCATCGCAGTGCATGAGTTTTCCAAGAACGTAGTCACTTCNCAAGTGGCCCATCTTCCTTTCCTATGCTAGCTGCTGATTTTTGAAACTTTAGAACAGACTATGTAGGCTAGAAGTTGATGTTATGCAAAGTTATGCTATGCTTTGCCGTCAAAGCCATTCAATCAACATATGTATGTCGCACAGTGAACGGCGTAAAAATGAGATTTCGAAATTCAGTGACGTGAGGTGTCATTTCCTATGTTTTCGATTTCTGTGGAAGACGAAATTGTTAGCTCAGCACATACTGTGCATATATTTACCATGGGACGGTTCAATGCTTTCGTACTTTAAGCGATCACCTAAAGCGAATGAGGAAACACAATACACCCCTAGTCGTAATAGCTCTAGTCAAATGGTATGTCGGGCACAGACTAGGTTTTGGTCCCTTTTTGAACAGATTTCACGTTTCTTCAATTTGATTAAAACTCATCTCATCCGCTGGATCGGGGCCATCGCAGTCCATAAGAGTTTTCCAAGAACGTAGTCACTTCATTGATGCGTTTGGCATTGAATGAGGGCGGAGCGCAGAGGGTGTCGTTGTCTCTTTTCGGTACCTGTTCGTCTGAGCGGTTTCCTTGGAAATGATAGTTCAAGGGCCCAAGTCAGAAGAAGTCAGATGGAGATGGGTATCAGAAGAATACGGATGTGGAAAGAGCACTCAATGAGTTCGGGAATTTCTGTAATATTGGCATTGTGTGACGTGACTTTGCCCATAACTTTAATAGTTAAACCTTCTCTTCATCTACGGATTTCGTCTATCTTACGCAGATGTGAGTGAAAGACCTCGGCTGTCAATGTTTTAGTGAGCGGTAGTGCAGACATGCCTATAAGCGATGATAGCAGCCGACCACCAAACACTGACCATCACTTTCGACTGATTGTACGACTTGTAGCCTCGGTTCTGGTTCCTCATCAGCCTTTATCCGCCTTCTTCTTTTCGTTGAACTATTGAGGTGTGCCCTCTATTCATCCACCTCATAAAATCCGTAATTCGGTCGAAGAAACGAGACTACAATAAAAGCTGCATTGTGGCGCCTATCCCGTCTTTGCAGTCTGGCTCGCTTAGCCCTTGTGGTATCCAGCCGTTTTCACTTCTGCTGAGTCGTTTCAAAGTGTGGGCGACCATACAAGAGAAGAAAATTGATGTTGCTGTTACATACTCAGAAACGTCTTCAGGAATCTTTCTCAACGAGCTGGAACAACTGCTTTTGTCGAAAGAAGCAAGTCTGGATTAGGTGCTACAGAAGTCAGGTTCCAACCTCATCTTTCTCTAAACACGATTCCCCATACCCCTCCCCCTTTCACCGCCCTAACCCTTAATCTAAAGCCATGCAAGCATTCGCTTTCTCTACAGCTGATCTTATGGTACGCGGATTAAAATTGACTGCTAACTTTTCAAGCTTTCTGCGCGGAATTCGACGTTGCTTGAGAGTCTACCTCTGAGGGACCAGACAAGTCTTAAAAGGGTGAGGCAGGGAACATGACGGGTGCCATAATAAGTAAGAATTTTCGCCTGAACGGAATTTGATCCACCTCTCGCGACCGGGACTCGTGATCGTCTCCCGATCTTAAATCCGAAGTATCGACAGAGAGTCGGTCATGTGACTGCGCTGTCAAGTTGGAAGAGTTGCAACTCGATTGAAATTCAGCCTGAAAGCTAGGAATAGTTGATTTGAGTAGGCAATGTTTCTATTGATAAGACGAATCGGGCTCGAACGCAAAGGATGGAGCGTACCATTACGAGCTGGTGGTGTCTGCAAAAAAATCTTAAGTGCCCTCCAAGGCACTTTACGACTTTCGTGAAGATGTACAATGTTCGTGGTATACGAGCATTTTTATAGCGACGGAGATCCTTATGCATTATGGCCCTGGCCATATTTTAACGTGGGATCCGTCTGTAAAATACGCAAAACGATTTTTGAGCAGCCCGGAGGACGAAAATGACCATACGGTACCTAGGTGGAAAGAATACCAAAGGCCCATTGTAGGCAAAGCAAAGGCAATTTTAGGCAGACCAGTGGAAGTTGTACACGCTTTGCTCTCAACTGCTGTTGGGCTTGGTAGACAACTTACGGATGTTTCCCGAATCGCTTTGAAAAAGGAACTGCTTAGCGGGCAGCGGGTTTTTGGGGCACAGCCCACTTCGTAGATAGGGGAGTAGAGAACTCCATTAATCCTATTAAGTGCTAGGGGTGTGGTATCTTCTCCCCGAAAATTGCGTCGCGCTCACCCCGCCCGATCGTGCGCAGTCGCGCGCTATAAAGTTGAAGATTTGAATTCGCAATGGAAGGATACGGTAGCCGCCGCGGCAGATTGCCAAGGGAATTCGGGGAGAAGTGTCGTCACCCGAGTTTCCAATAACATAGATTTACTCCTGGAATAGTGTGCTTCAAAGCTCACTAGCTTCTTCAGCAAAATCCTTCTTCATTTCAATACTGTCCTTTATGAATATTGCTATAATGAAATAACTTTTATGGGTCATATAAGTCACGGTCTGTGCAGCAAAAAAGGCAATGTTAAGGATATCTTTTGCGCCTTTACGGTGCTATTAACCCAAAATATTCTATTCTTTCCAGCCGCGAACAGTCTGGTCACCACAAACGATGACTCCAAAGCGAGCAACGTCAAGCATGCAGTCGATAACACCGTCTGGAGCGGCGGCTAGTGCGATTACACGACGACGTGAGTAATCTTCTTTTATTTTTCTAAGGAAGTTCAGGACCACAGTTTATACGGCACAGCACTTGGTATCGTTGTCCAAACGTCTCAACGCATTTGCAAAATCGTATCAAATCAAAAACTTTTGTCCAAAGTCTTGTCTACATACACTTTGAGCACCGTTATAAAGCCAATGTGCACAATAAATCGGCCACTTTGAGAAAAAAGACTTAAGGAAGTAAAGAAACGAATATGTGTATAATCACAGCACTTAAATCGTTGTTGCATATCGAATATTGGACTAAAATCTCTTTATCTATTGAAAAAGTTTACTGCCAGCGTTTACTCTCTTGGCGTTTTTCAATGCTTCTTCAAAAAAGCAGGAGGTTTCCGACGAAAGGCACGAGGTCAAAGAATCCCGCTATCAGTGTACTTCTTTTCTTCCGGGCGCTTTTTCACTTCATTCAAAAGTAGTAAAAGTGCGAGACCTTCTGGAAGTTCCCATAGCTTCCTTGTGTGGAGACCACCCACGCGGATACACCCATATAACGACCGGTGTTTAGCCACATCCGGCGCATTCTTTATGAGTTCGAATCCAGAGACTCTTTTCTGAAATCCATTGAAACCTGTGCCAAGCATTCGTTTTGAAGCCACTTTCGACTGGTTTGCATGCAAGTTGCAAGCTTCACATCTTGAAACAAAAAGGTCGAAATTTAAGTTTGACGTGGTCAACCGCTTGCGGTGTAATATAGCTCCCCATGCAATATGTTTGGTGTTTGGGAAATGAGAATTTTGAGTAGTACTAGTGAAGCACTTGCGTTCAAGCGGAGCATCTAGCAGCACATTTTGAAATCAGTTTTGCGCTCGGCCTTCCCAGGCGCATACAGAATATTACACCCCATCGTCGTTGTTTGGACGAGCCTTTTTATCTTCTCCTACCACGAACCTTGGAAGACTTTTCTGACTCCCAGACTGAGCGATTAGGGAATCATCAATATTAGCACTGCATATAATTAACAGGAAAGTTTATTTTCTGTAAATAGTTATATACAAAGTTAATGTCATGTTGGACCTATTCGAAGAGGGACCTATTTGTGCTACGTGTTTGGGTGACTGTATGGGGTGACTCAGCTTGCAGTGCGACTCATGTTCAATCTCATCCTCGTACGGGAGCATTTCTCTCAACATAAAGATGAGTCCATGGCAGTGGCTTCTGAAGATCTAGTGTTATGACATCCATGGCGGCAGCGAGTAGTAGTGGAGGAAACGCTGAGCCTATGTGTACCCTTGTGGAGATGTAAAATTAGGAAGAGGTACATGCTGTGTTTATACTCAACTCGCCAGATTAGAGTATTCGAACCCACTCAATAAACTCCTCCATGGACTTTGTGCTGTCACAACTCCTGCAACATATGTTCACGCAGTACGCGATCGGAATACTTCTAGTCTGAAGATGCAAGATCCACTGCTTCTCGTTTTCCACGGTGTTTTTTTTAGAAGGGATCGCCATCGGTGATGCAGCAACTGAAGACAAAATCATGGTAGTTAGTGGAGAGATGGAGTGTTCATGAAAAGCTGGATACAGTCCGTTCGAAGATCTCCAGTGCCTGCGTCGGGCGCTAACTCGTATCTTCTCTTGGCTGTTTTTCTTCTTCCTATTCGAAATGGTGGAAACGTGTTGTCAGCTCTTAGGCACCTTCTTCTGACCTGATTGAGCAACTTCGTCAACCGTGTTGTCGGATTACCCAACAGAGTTTCATTTGAAGTACCATTGATGTAGTTGGGTAGCTGACGCGACGAGGGCAGGACTCGGCGGAAGTACCACTACCACAAGGGTCTTTCCGCGCATTTCCGTCCCTTTAGGCAATGGCATTGGTCTTTCTTTCCTGTGTTTCCAGTTTTGCCTGCCTATCCGAATGCCTACTATGAATTTTTGTGCGGCTTCTTTTGGCGAAGGCTAATGGATGCCTTTTTTCGAAAAGTGGCTAGATAAGGAGCGAATTGTAAATGACGCTCAGCTTCACTTTTTCCCACTTATCGTTTCCCATTGCTGCGCTCGCCAAATATGGCATTACGGTTGTTTCCTGTGATCGGGCCCGAAATTATGCAGATTAATTCATGAGCGCGTGGTGGCAAATGGAGCAAAGCTTTCCAACGATACTTTCGGCTGCTCCATACGTATTATTCTTCATTTGGTATAAATATGCTCGTAGTACGGTTTCCATGCTCACGGGAGTTAGGCGGGCGGGCGGAGCTTTTTGAAGCGCATCCTGGATTTATGTGTACTGCTAGATTGAGTGTTTTTNTTTTTGATGTTGTGGATGTTCATCTCTAACTTGACTAACAATCCAGCGTCCCAGCTCTTTCGAGCTAATGAGGCACTAATATCACGCTAAACTACCTGTGGCGTATTGCTCTCTAACCACATCCTTGACCCATTCAAGGTTAGGTGCTCGAAATAGCTTTGAGAGCGATTAATTTGGATTTGCTTGCTTTTAGAATCAGAGAAGTTTTACGTGCGATTTGCTTCACGGAAAGAAGACAATGAAGTGGTTGCAGTTGGTCGCCGACGCCATTATTTATCGCTACCGCGACAAAGTTCGGTAGCCAAAGGTGCCTGAAGTGCTTTATCCATCCCTGCTTTGCTTTTGTGTTTCTTGAACGCCTAACTGTTTGTGGCAACTATGTTGGCATCTCGAGCAGCTGCTTTAGGCGAACTTGGTTATAATGATATAGTGAATTATTAGTGATTATACTTATGAGTTCTCGTGAGGCAGTATTCACCAAAAATCCCTAACTGTTACCAGTTGACTAGTTCTGCAAACGAACTGTAGGAAGATTTCTTGACGTGGAGACCGACCGTGAAAGTGTGATGTCTTCAATGATCAGTTCGCTTCTCCAAAGGCCTTTACCGAACTAACAGCTCGGTTTGGTTCGCATCAAAGTATTGCATGTCGCTTTCGTTTGTTCTCTATTTCGGGGTGTGTGGGGCTCAATAGATCTTTAAAGGCGATAAGTGCAAAAGAGAACCTATATATTGACTCATAATGCTCTCACTTTTAGTATTTTCCCATCGTGCTGACGAAAAGACGGTAATAGGAATTAGGCATTGTTAAATTGATCTTCAAATTGAACAACTTGGTAGGGGATTCATTGGGTAAAACTGCGGCAGTTTTCTGGTTACAGTTACAAATAGGATTATGGCATAGCTAGGATTCATTAGGCTTGCAGTTAGTACATTTGTTTGATGGTGAAGTAGAGCATAGCAAGTAAGAACGTTTTCATTTGAAATACAATTGGCCTTTGATGATAAGGCCATGAAAACAAACTTCGAATTCTCCAACTTTATTAACGTATTACGTTTTTTTTTTTTGATATCTATAGTTTCTATAGCTTCTAAATTTGTATTTTTGTGATGATCTGTTCAGAATAATTTTGGGACTATGTTTTTCTCCTCTTCCTCCTCCTGGATCAGTTGCTCTTTCTTTTCACGCGGTTTCTCTTAAATAAGTTTTGGAAGGTAGAGGAATTGAAATTTTTCTCTGTACTCTCCTCTCTGGTACCGTAGAGAGAAGAATTTCCAGTCGTGTTCGATCTCGATTTCTTCTGAACTACGAATTTTGTGTTTAGAAGCTGATTTCAACGATTCGAATCTTCACCTACGTAGTCGAAGTCAAAGCCCGAATCATATGCTTCTAAACCAGCAAAACAGACCGTTGCCAAACTCGGCCAGCCGTGAGCTGACGAAGGAACTTCAACGTCGACGGGTGGGTTACTGAAGTACTTTTTGATTACTCACATCAGAATAATCAATAAAAATAATAAATTAAAAAAGATAATAAATGATTTTGCCTGGAAAAACATTAGTTGAAAAAGTCGAAGAATTATGAAATTTGAACAGCTGATGAGGGGAGCAGTAGCAATCGAAGGGGCCTTTATTGGTAATTCTAACATGCCCCATTATGTGAACGGAGTTTTTCCCATTCACTTAATTCTATTTATTTCGAACTGCTTTCGTATTCAACAGTTTCATCATAAACAGCTTCAGAGCTGCTTTTCTTATCTTCCAACCATGAATGCTATGAAAATAAGTAAGAAAAAAGAAGAAGTATAGTCAATTCCTTCAACCAAAGAAACAAAGTTCAAGAGGGAATTGAAAAATTAAGAGTTTTGAAAAATCGAATGGAAATCTATCGGTTGTATTAAATCCCAAGTCCTCTCNGTAAGAAAAAAGAAGAAGTATAGTCAATTCCTTCAACCAAAGAAACAAAGCTGAAGAGGGAATGGAAAATTAAGAGTTTTGAAAAATCGAATGGAAATCTATCGGTTGTATTAAATCCCAAGTCCTCTCCTCTCTTGAAACCTCGGCATTTCTGCTCTCTTGAAATTGTTTATGATCGAGGTCGGTAGGTGGGAATTCTTATTCCGGCTAACGTACTAATCGTGTAGCGCAGCGCTACACTTTGCGGTGGAGGTGAGGCCTTTGAAAACGACGAGTCCGTCGAAACTTTGGCCAGAATAGAAACTTTCACCTACCAACCTCGAGGCAGAAGCAAAATTAACAATTTCTATCCGTTGTCATGAGGGGGACGGAAAGAAAGTCTGAAAAGGTACAGTTGAAAAAGGTAAGGTATTGGATTCATTTTCAATGCCATTGTTGTATGCTCCACGACATTTGCAACTTTCGACTCGGCCTCATTCGAATGCAGGAATATTTTAACTGCCGTTGTGGGTGATTATACTCCCATTTTCGACTTTTTTCCCAGTATTCGTTGAATGAGTGACCGTTGAATTTTCGTACGTTTCTTTTTTCGCAAAGCATTCCTTTTCAGCTTGTCTCTTTGGTCAAACGGATGGAGTGAACTCTCCACATCTTTCCTCCTATCTTCATGTTTTTGTGTCTCTCTTTTTATCAGCATTTGTCTAGATTACTTCCTCTTTTTGCAGGACTCGGACATGTCATATACTGCTGCATCCAGTCGATTAACGCCAGCGAATTCTCGATCGAATCTTCGCAGTGTTGGTGTCGATGGAGATACACGAAAGAGTACGGACGCCTTGAATCGTATAGCGGCATTGAGAAACAAGTAAGTGTAGATTTCGATCGGATTATGTCTCCAAGTTATGGTATCATAAAATGAAATGCTTTTCGTTCGGCGACTGCTATAGTACTGTGAAAGCCATAAGAAGTTTTTACTACCCGTAAATGCAGAGATGAGGTGATGCCCCAAATTGTGGTGGATTCATACTAACATTGAGGCGGCTGCTATAGTACTGTAAAAGTCATAGGAAGTTTTTACTCGTACCCATAAATGCGGAGATGAGGTGATGCCCCAAATTGTGGTGGATCCATTCTAACAGCCCGTTCAAGGACTACTATCTAGTTCTTCTATTCTGCTTCAGACCGATCTATAAAGGTGGTTGCTCGGTGCTGAAATGACATCATCGAACCATTCCCTGAATACATCAAAACTCATATACTCCCAGATGAATCCCGTACCAACTATGTAAATCTGGGAAATTGAGAAGGTAGGAAGGCCTGGGTGAGTTCAATTCAGAAGGTGAAGAGGGGCGGCAGGACATATAAGTACATTGCATAGCCATTGTGTAGGCACTAATTCGAGGCACGCACTTCTAAGCGTATATTTTTTCATTACGTATACTGAGCGAGGGGGTCTAACTAGCTGCGAGAGGCTTAGTCCTATTCGGTTACCAAACTTTTCCTGCTTTCCGCAGTGCATAGTGGTCCACTACAGTGTAGACGTCTGTACTGTGTATTGTTCCTCCCCCCAACTATGATCTCTGCAAGGGCTGTGGTGACACAAGTGGAGCATTAACACGGCACGATCTGGGGATCGAATCCCGGAATATGCATTACTGCGCTATTTGCCTTGAATCACGCTTGGGCCATTCGGTTTTTCGATTCCGAGATCGATCAGTTTGTACCAGACTTGAATGAGAGGGTAAAAGCTCTGTCTCCACCATTGGATAGTTACGCCATTGCGCATAACTTCTCGCGTCGACATCGGTCAACACCAAAAGTTTCATTCTCGATCCACTAATATTCGCTGTGGAAAAGCTACCCATACCCACCTCGGTTTTCGTCAGCATTTGAGAACACGTGAGAGTATGGGATCGATTTGTTCAATAAAGTGGTAAACATCAACGATCATTATCGATCAGTTCTTGGAGGGTTATTCTGCTGCCAAAAGATGGGTTGATCGTGGCCGTTCAGCATAGAATCTAAGCATGAGGGTCAAACTTCTTTATTGATCCTTCATTTTATGATAAGGCATTTTCTTTGTGGAATATGCTCTGCCACATCCACCTAAACTGAGCCAACTTGTGCAGGGTGATTTTATGCTCTCATAGTTGAGTTGTGAGGCAGTGGTGGTGTAGTGGCAAGTGGCAGACTATCGGGCATGCATGACCCAGGGATTGAATTTCGTTGCCACTCGTCGAACTAATCTAGCCTTCAATCCCATCGAGTAGTATAATCACTGCCAAACCCATCTGATAAAATAAAAACAACAAACATTGGCTTTTTCATCGACTAGTCACTGAAAGTCATTGTATAGGCCGAATGCGCATCCAATAAACCACTATGATTCCGAATGGGAGTCGTATGTGAAGGCGCATCCAAAATGGTATTCATTAACTCCGGAGACTTTATCCTCTACCTGAGTCATGCGGGGAGACGACGAAGACTGGCAAGGCCGGGGTAGCAGTAAACTACCACGAGCACAGTCCACGGAGCTAGTTTCTCATCAATGTGAGGCCAACAAAACGCTTCATCTGATCGGTGTCGCTATGTAGGCCACCTATGCACGTATTCAAACATTATTATGATTTTCAATGGAATTCGAGTGCAATAGCACTACGAAAATTTCACCTTCAAAGGTATAATTTTTCCATATGTTGGGCATGTTTTTTACTTTTGAGTTGAGATGTTTTGAGTTAAGATGTTGTTTTGGGAGTGTTTTGAACCCTTGTTCCTTAGGTTGCATCAATCAAGTGAAAATCTGCGAAAATCGTCCGACAATCTTCGTCTCACATCAGCCGGTGACAGCGAAAACGCGCCGACACGAACGCGTAGCAGCAGCAATTTGCGAGGTGCCAACGCCCTTGAAGCCTATGGGACAATCGATGCTGATCAGCTCGATAGGTTGGTTGAAATTTGAACATTTTGCTTATCTCGGTTTGCTTATTTTTTACCCGCTCGACCATGTTGCACAGCATTGTTCGATCACCAAGTTGGCGGGTACTCGTTTTTTCATCGTTTTACTGCATGTCCGAAAAAAAGCAAAAAATAATCTATTTTGACCTAAAAGTTGGTTTCTTTTTGAATTATTTTCTATCGCATTTTTTTACAGGCAAAAAAGTAGCGCTTCTCAGGGAAATTTTGTTTAGCCAGTTGTTTCTAGTTTTGAAAGTGCAAAAATTTCAGAAAAAGCGAGGCAGTGATGGACTTTTATTTAGAGGAATCTTCACCCAAACAAGATTTGAAAGTCCTATTTCGTGAATCAGGATGCCGTCCAAACTCAGAATCAGCTCAAGCCTATTCATTGCCCAAGTCAAGTGGGCAGTGTCTTTCCCAAAACAAGGACTTGAGAGTGTTCTTGCACTTTCAAGTCCAAGTTTTGGGAAAGATTGAGCAAACCTGTAGAGGCTTGCTGTTAGTGGAGTTTGGCTAAGGTTAAAGTCCTAAAAAGTCCTGGGGCGTTAATCAATCCCGTTTGAGGGATGAGCCCACGCATTCAACTTCTATTCAGGATCGTAGTGGCGTAATGAATGCGTACGTTGCCTATACAACGACTTGCGGTGGCTTGCCGGTGTGCAAGTCAGTGCTTTTATCTTCTCAGACGAGTCTAGTACCAAATAACCGACCCCGGAAGGATGGAAGGCTTGGTTGACCTAGGCGGATATCGATCCGAGATTCGAACCCGTGACCATGGATGTATGTGAAGTGCGCCTCTTGCCACTACACCACCTCCACTTGCCTTTTAACTAGGACGTTCGTATTCATGAATTCGACGAACCTGATGTTTCGAATGAGTCATGTAGGTAGTGCGGGTTACGCAGTCTGAATGGATCTTCACTCAGGTCGAACCTTTTTTTCATTATCCTCCCGTTGTTCAGTTTTCTTCATGCAGTTGAAAACCTTTGTTTGGAATTGTACTTAGTGGGTACTAATCACATTCAGTTGGTTTTTGTATTCGTGTTTGTGATAATTGTTGCGCAATCCTGCAATCATCATAGGACCTTGAAGGATTAATAAAAATGGCGGTGATTCTAATGTCAAGTTTCTTTTTCCAGCCGTACGTTTAACTGCACATTACACTAATCGTTCGTCTCTTCTTTTCAATATCTCATATCGCCGTCATAGCTTTTTGAGTAGTTTTTGTGATTTTGCCCTGTCCATGGCTCGCCCTTTCATATTCGTCGGTTTTAGTCCTCAGCGTATTCTTTCCAAGACTGGTTCGCTCCTACAGTACAATACAGAATTCCATCGAGATCGCCTTATTGCCCTAGAGTGGCATTTTTGCTGCGTATGCACCATATTCATTGCCAAAGAGTTGTCAAGGAGTTGCCAAAGAGTAAAGGGTTGAGCCGTAGAGACTGGCCGGGTCTCATCTTCGAACGGTCTGTTCACGCCACGCCATGCTCTAGACTTTTGTTCAAAAACCCAACGGCAATTGAATGAGATACAGAACCGTAGCACTTATGCCTAAGATCTTAGACGAAAATTCAGTTTTCTCACCTTACCGTAACTTCCAACAGATTGTCGTTTCTTCGAGGGATTATGGATTTGCATCAACGGGGGGTATAACTTCGCGGTAATTCCATAGGAGACGTACTGTCACATCTAACTACTATTTGACCTTTTTCCCATCGCTCCACTGAGATTCGAAGCTGTGGGACAGAGAGACAAGTGATTTGTTCTGTGTAATGCCCTCCGATTGTTTTTTTTTATTATGTAAATTAAGCGCTTTCCAAATACCTGATCAAATTTGCTGAGAGCTAAAGAAAAGCTCTACTCCAGTACGTCGCAAATTTTGTTCTGTGAACTCTACGGAAAATCAGACCTGGTTGTACTTTATGTTGTGTATTTAAGGCTGGTGAATGCTTTTTCTGACACTATTCAACTTTTTTCTGTTACACATATGCCCATACATTTAGCTTCCATTCAAAGTTGTAGTGACATGACGTCTGGATGCTCGTTATTTCGGCACTTAGGACCGACTTGCAGGGACCGATGGGGGATCGATTATAATCAGGGCTTCTACCTTTCCAGACGAATCTGCTATTATTTAGATACTGCCGGAGCAAAGAAAGGCTCTTGACATAAGCATATATCGGTTCGGGATCGGATCTTGAGCCTCGTCCTGAATGAGGCGTCGAGACTTTGCTTTTCACCTTGTATGATTTTCTAAAGGGATTTTGTTTTCTCAAATTCTTCAAATTAGTCAATCAAGGATCACTCCTGCTGCCGAATCACCTCGTTAATAATATTAACATGGCCAATAATTTCGAGAACGCCATCATCGTTTTTATTTTTTTTTTCATTCAATCATTCATCAGATGAAATCATTTGATTTTCAGTGCCTCGTCATTGATGCATTCACGATTATTGGCACGTAGTGTTGGCAATGTATCATCGGTGGGATCTGGAGCCGAAGGAGAAGCAACGCCAGCCTCACGATTACAGAACACTATCGATATGTTGAAGAAAGCCAGGTGAGCCAATTCATTGACTGCTCGATTTGCTCGATAGCCAATTATTGAAATTTGCCGACCAGAACTCATGAATCGTACGGCTTTGACCAATTCTGAAGGGTTTGCTGAAACTTGTGCGGAAAAATCAGGTTTTGCTAAAAAACAATATGACATCGAGTGTCCTGTGTAGCTTCACAGGTGGTTGGTATCCGATAGATCGATTCATTAGCATCTCTCTAACTTCTCACTTATTGGTAATGTTTCAGTAATCCTGATCTGACTCAATGCTCCCTTTATGAGGATCCCGGAAGCCCGTGCGGTGAGAAAATGCGACGGCGAGGAGCTGTTCAGAAAAAGGTAATAAATAAAGCAAAATCGAATGAATTGTCTTATTCTTCAAACTTTGGTTGTACCTAGCAGTTCCTGTTCGAAATAAGGTTATTTGAAGTAAAATACTATCAAGTATGGGTATATTAAGATTTACTTACTAGTCTAATTTGATGCCCAAGTTCTTTAGAAAGGGTTTTTGTAATATCTCGAAATGTCTTTGGTACGGGTCATGTGGCGTAGGACTTTTGACGGACGTCAAAAAGAATTTTCGGAGAGATTCCACGGAGTTCCATGAAAATGGTGCCTATTTAGGTTGAACGCTATCATCCGCGACATCGAACTGCCCGAAATCAGACTAGCGAGGAGAGTGACAGTAACGGCAGTGACGCTAGTCCGCTGAATCAGAGCTTGAATCGGCGACTACTGTCATCTGGCACTAACAGGTATTCAATTTGTTGTACGTTCATTCGTTTGTTCCCAAAGTTGAGCTACGCCTTCAGCTCTGCCACTATACAATCAAAACAAATTTATCTTCCGTTGTATTGTGGACGTTAAGTTAGGGGTAACCCCTGAATTCCTTTTCCATTGTTTCTCCTCGTTAGCTTGATAAATATCTTTGCAAATTATTATTTTCTTATGGCATCATTTTAATGTATTTCAAGTTTTTAAGTTGAAGTTTAAAAATCCCGCTTTCTAAAGTGGGAATCTTGTGGTCTTCCAGGTCTTGGCTTCTCCCCTAGCGCCGACTAAAATTTGATTTTGGGCTTTGTCGAAGTAGAAGGATTGGTCTCCCCTTTTAGATTCAATATGGTTGCACTAAGTCGGCCGTTTTTGATCGATACTGAGTTTAGATCAGTCTCCGCGGTAGAGACGTCGGGTCGACTTGGTATGGCTTCCAGACGACTGTTCGATCAGCAACGGTACGGTGCTACCCCATCATCAACCACTGTAGCTTCTCCAAGAAGAACACAAAACTACTTGGCTCAAAAGATGGCGGGGTAAGTAAAAATCACCATTTCACCTTGTATTCATACAGCTTTTCCATTTCCAACTATCTTTACAGATAATTAATTGCAATAGGAATGCGATTTCGGGGGCGAGAAATCTGGGTGAACATCGAACAAAGTGATATGATGCAGAACAGACTTTTTCAAATTGATTGTAATCGCTCTTTTTTTCCTTGCATTCCTGCACCGCTTCGGATTCTTAGTAATCTGTCTTCGGAGAATCTTCGGCCACAAACTGAGAAAAAAGCTCTAATGGGTAGGGTTTTTTTCAGTGGAAGTTGATCTAATCGCAGATAGAGGAGTGTTCGGTATGGGAATATTATTGGTACACTCGAAATTGAGGCATACTCTGGTGATGTGAGAGGGGAGAGCTCACAGCGAAGAGCGAGAGGAAAGCATTCATATTGCATTTTTCCGTCAAGCTCTACTTTCCTTGCCTGATCATACCCTTCACGCTTGAAGATCATTGGTAGGGACGGAGGTAATGACAAGTGGTACACTATCACAAGAACGGTCTACGAATCGAATCTCGGATTGATGCCTGCTCAAGACAACCGTGTTTCCTTCACTCCGAGTTCGTTCAATTAGTGCTTAACTCGTGTGAGAGGATTAAAGCACGGTCTTGTAAATCAGTTGGTCAATGCAAGTTACTGTGTCGCCCAATTGTGCCCTCAAAGCGCCGCTTCGATCCTGGTTGTGAGTCGAATATAGAGTGCATCCCAGAAAGGGGATTGAGGTATGCCGAAAGACTTCATTCTTTATACTTTAACATGAATGGTGGTCTGCTGCTCGTCTACCTTAAACGCACGGTTCACGATAAAAAAGGTTACTGAGTTCTCCCTTTAGGAATACTCAGCGCCCCCCATGGGGGTAGAAGGGACCCTCTCGCTCCCACAATCTCGGCGCTTAGGGATAGTGGAAGCCCCTTTGCTGCCGTAGTTCGCTTTCCCTCTCCTCGATCGGTGTCACGTTAGACGAGTGT